CAACTGGGGTAGGATCGGCTTTCAAGCTCACTTTGTGGTTGTGGATGGGATTCAGTTTATTGATTGTTTGAGTGATTGACAGAGTCTTGCTCTGTTGCCCAGGCTGCTACTGCAGTGGTGTCACCATAGCTCACAGCAACCTCAAACCCCTCGGCTCAAGTGATCCTCCTGCCTCAGCCTCCTGAGTAGCTGGGACTAAAGGCATGCACCACCACGCCCGGCTAATTTTTTCTACTTTTAGTTGTCCAGCTAATTTCTTTCTATTTTTAGTAGAGATGGGATCTCACTCTTGCTCAGGCTGGTCTCGAACTCCTGGCCTCAAGTGATCCTCCTGTCTCAACCTCCCAGAGTGCTAGGATTACAGGCGTGAGCCACCAGGCCCAGCCGAAACAGAGTCTTGCTCTATTGCCCTGGGTAGAGTGTAGTGGCATCATCATAGCTCACTGCAACCTCAAACTCCTGGGCTCAAGTGATCCTCCTGCCTCAGCCTCCCAAGTAGCTGAGACTACAGGCGTGTGCCACCATGCCCGGCTAATTTTTCTATTTTTAGTAGAGACGAGGTCTCACTCTTGCTCAGGCTGATCTCGAACTCCTGAGCTCAAGCAATCCTTCTGCCTTGGTCTCCCAGAGTGCTAGGATTACCAGTGTGAGCCACTGCACCCAGCCGGAATTCAGTTCCTTGCAGGCTGTTGAGCTCAGGGCCTTGGTTCCTTATTGGCTGTTGGCTAGAAGTCATCCTTAGTTCTGTGACACATGGTCCTCTTTATAGGGCAGCTTGCTTCGTCAAAGCCACTCATCCTGGAAGTGACATCCCATCACTTACTGTGCTCTATTGATTAGAAATGGCTGGGTACACTGGCTCACGCATGTGATCCTAGCACTCTGGGAGGCCAAGGCAGGAGGATGGCTTGAGCCCAGGAGTTTGAGGTTGCTGTGAGCTAGGCTGACGCCATGGCACTCATTCTAGCCCAGACAACAGAGTGAGACTCTGTCTCAAAAAAAAAAAAAAAATAAAACTCTGGTGAGAGGAATGGCCAAAATTAACAAGATTGACAGTGCCAAGTGTTGGCAAAGACGCGGAGACATTCGCTGTGCATTGAAGGGTGAGCTGGTACAACCACTTGGCTGTATCTTACCACAACTTAGGTCTTCCACACAAGCCAGCACTTTCACTCTGGAGTATCTGTCCAACAGGAATGAGTGCTTATCCATCGGAAGACACATACAGGAGTGCCCAGAGCAGTTTCGCTCGGTGGCCAAGAGCAGAACGACCCGAATGCCCATCTGCAGGTGGGCGGATGAATCGACTGTGGAATCACTGACGTAGGGAGCACCCCAGGTGAATGTCGCAGACATGACGTTGAGCAAAATAAGCCAGACACAGAAGAGGACTTGTTTGGGGGCTGCACTGATACCAAGTTGAAGAACAGGCTGAACAAATGATGGGGTAAAAGCCAGGTAGCTTTGGGGAAATGGCTCAGGCCAAGAGGGTGGAAGAAAGTGGCGGCCATAGCTGGGCTGTACAACATGTGGATATAGGACGTGTGTCATTTGCTACCAGCAGAGGCCACCAGGAGTCTCATCAGCCACCCAGCTTAGACTCACGCTGCTCTCGGTGCCCAGGCCTTTGTGATACCTCACTTGGTGTCTGGAAGCAAGAACAAGGAGACAGGGATGGGCCCCCTTCCTGGATGAAAGGCTGTGGTTGCTGGAGGCCTGGACTCCCTCCTCTGCAGCCCAGCCTGGAATGATCAGAATCCACATGGCCCAAGTCAGGAGCGGGTTGGGGGGGCTCCACTGGGACCCTCCACCCAGACGGCAGGAGTTCACAGAGCGAGTGGCCTCTGATGCATGACAGCTGATCCAGTCAGGCCAGGACGGGTCATCGTGAGGCCCCTGCTCACCCACGGGTGCCCTGAAAAGTGATCCGGGGTTGGTTTTGGGGCAGCGGGGAAGGTGAGCAGAGAGAACAAATGGCCTTTGCTTCCCGGCAGGATCGGATTCTGTGGTCGGCGCCAGAGCAGCCTGGGCGGGACAGGGTGCTGCAGGCAGATGCCTTAGCCCAGAGACCCAGTTTTCCCAAAGCAGCGAAAGGGTTTGGGGAAGGAGGTACCTTTCGCTCCATCTCCCCACACCTCTTTCTCCAGGGCAGCTCACTCTGTCCCCACTCTGATTCCAAGGGCCAGGCCGAGTGTCCCCCTACCCTGCTACCCACCCCCCTCCTGACAAAGGCTCTCTCCTTGCAACCGGGCCTGGACCTTGGCCTCTGACCTGTCTTTGACTTGCCTCTCCCAGTCTTAGCAAGAATCCTGCTAAGTCAGTTTAGAGAGAATGTCTCATCCTTTGATATCCGATCACCTTGGCCTACCTTCATTAAGAATCCCGTTAAGTTGGTTTAGCAAGACTCTGCCACACACACACCCTTTTTGGGGGGGGCAGTCTCTCTCTGTCGCCCAGCCTCCTGAGTAGCTGGGACTACAGGTGCACGCCAGCTAACTTTTTTTTAATTTATTGTACAGACAGCGTCTCACTGTGTTCCCGAGGCTGGTCTTGAACTCCTGGCCTCAAACGATCCTCCCGCCTCCGCCCCCAAAGTGCTGGGATTACAGGCGCGAGCCGCCTGCCCGGCCTCCCACTACCCTTGATGGACAATTGACAGTAATTTTCCACCCCCGACCCCTGGCCCGCTCCTTGGCTGTGAATCCCGCTTGTCCTTGCCCTTGTATCTGAGTTGGGCCAATCGCGTCCCCCGTGTCAGTAGTCTAGTTTACCATTTTAACAACTGTCAAAATAACATTTTTCTTTAACAACCCTCAGACCCCCAGGACAGGGCTGTGCCCCACTCTGACACCCCAGGTAGGACCGTGACCCCCTCTCTCCAACTCCCTCTCCCGCTCCAGCAAGGTGTTGTTGGAAGGCTGGTTCCTGGGCACGGCCCCGCCCCTCGCGGCCCCACGTGACCTGTTCTGGCCAATGAGCTGTGAGCAGAACTCGGCACTTACGGGCCGGGGCGCTTCCCTGGCAGCGGGAGACTGCTGGCTCCTCTCCCTTTGCCACACGAAGTAGCAGACATCCGCTTCTGCCGGACACACAGCGTTCCTTGCCTTGAGAAAGCCACGTTTGCTCATTCTGCCCGTCACCGTACTTTGGCGAACCCCCTCAGTGACAGGGCACAGCCCCCTTCGATGCCTCTAAGGCGAAGAGCGGGATGAGGCGCAGGTTCCGCCTCCTGCCTGAACCACTGCGTTTTTAGCAAAGGTAAATTCTCTGACCCGAGCCCTCGCCTCTGCCCGCATAACGTCTGGCGGGATTCACGATTATGCCTCCATAACCTGCAACCGGATGCACTCTCGCACCCCAACTTTGACGGATGCCGTGGGGGAGAGAGTTATGACCACAGCGGAAAGCAGGACCTGGGCCGACCCAAAGCTACGGGCCAAGGGGAGACAGCAGCAAAGCGGCCAGCACACGTGCCAGTCAGCACGCTCACGTCAGCGTGAGCACGCTCAATGAGCACGCTCGTGGGAGAAAGCAGGTGTGGGCTTGAGGCTGTTAATTTAACCAACACAGTTCAGACTGGTCACTTACAGATTGATATGTGGGAATTCTTCTACTTACTCAAGTTTACCTGTAACCCCCCAAATCAATACTCGTGGCAGGCTCTGGGTCATTTGTGGATATGCACAAGGGCAAATTTGAGTTGCCGGACAAGCATGTTCCCAGCTGAGCTGGAACAAGGCCGTGCTCTGCCTTCTTGTTTCAGCTCCTGCTGGGAACAAGGGTCCTTACCGCGTTGTACTGAGCGCCGTGTTTTTCACAGCCTGTTAGAGATTTCGCTGTCGAAAATGGCCCCCAGGGATGGTGCCCAAGTGCTTGTCTAGTGCTCAAGGCTGCGACGTGCCTCGAGGAGAAGCTTCACTCAGGTGCGAGCTGTGGTGCTTGTGGCGGGGAGTGCAATGTGAATGCATCCACCATATGTATTAAATAAGGTGTTTTCAAACAGAACACACGTAAAAGTTATGTACGGGTCGCTTGATGAAAAGTGTCCTGACCAAGGCACTCAGGAACCTAACCCTGTATTCCCCCAGGAACAACAGTCCAGTATTTGCTATTTCAATTTTCACTGCAACGTGACAGAACATAACTAGCGTATGTTGTCACAGAGTTAGTGTTCTGTGACAGACTTTGGCTGGACGCAGTAGCTTGTGCCCGTAATCCTAGCACTTTGGGAGGGTGAGGCAGGAGGATCACTTGAAGCCAGGAGTTCAAGACCAGCCTGAGCAAAAGTGAGACCCCACCCATCTCTAAGAAAGAGGAGAGGAGGGGAGGGGAGGGGAGGGGAGAGGAGAGGAAAAAGAAAAATTAGCCAGATGCGGTGGCACGTGCCTATAGTCCCAGCTACTTGGGAGGCTGAGGCAGGAGGATCGCTGGAGCCCAGGAGTTGGAGGCTGCAGTGAGCTGTGATGACACACTGCACTCTAGCCCAGGTGACAGAGCGAGTCTGTGTCTCCAAAAAAAAGGAAAACAAACTGTATATACGAAGTACCTTGTACACATGGTATGGCAGGGGGCCTCACAGAATAGCCTAATCATTGAGACAGCAGGTTCTGCGTTCAAGTCCCAGCTGTCCCTTAGCATCCCCTGCCTCAGTTTCCCTATCTATAAAATGGCAACAAAACCTAGGCTTCCCACGGGTTGTGAGAAAGGCTATAGAGATAATAGGGCTTTGGGTGCTGGGGATGTGGTCATCGCAATAATAAGCAGCAGCTGTTACTATTATTAGTTACTGTCATTAGGCCCAAAGATGGAGGGCTGGGCCTGGGTCTTCTCTGTGATCTGGAATCCCAGCTCGCTCGCGCCCTGAGCCTCAGTTTCCCACTCTAGGAAGGGAGTCCCTGCGGCGCTGCCTCCCTGCCGTGATCTCACCCACTCGCCCGGCGCAAGAGCGGCCAGGGCTCCAACTCCACATGCCAGACGAGCACCTGCAGCCGGGTCGGGAATCCAGATGCGGACAGGGTAGTGTTTATTACCAGGAGGACAACCTTGCCACCTCCAGGCACCCCAGAGTTTTGAGAAGAATGACTAGAAGGCACTGGTTTCCATCCAGCCCCGACCCCTGCCCTGCAGGGCCCGGGGGCAGAGACCCTAAGACGCCATCACCAAGCAACCCCAGCCTGCCCCCTCCTCCACGGCTGCAGCTCCACCAGGCGGCAGCTGAAGGTCCGAAGTGCCCTGTGATGTGGAGGTTCCTAGGATGGGCTGCGGTGGGATGACTGCCACGCCACGGCGGATGTGACAGAGGGTTACGAGACACTTGGGGGCAGGCGGGCAGCGGCGGTTTTCTCTACCACGAAGCCGTAGTTGTACTGCAGGGAAGGGGAGAGCGAGAGTGAGAGAGTGGTGGGGCTGATGGGAGGGCCATGGGTGGGTGGCCGAGGATAGTGGGGTACGCTTAGGGACAGAGCAGGTCTCAAGCCCTGGAGAGATGGGTGTTCCTGGGGGAAAATGGGACCAGGGGGAGACTGGAGCAACCTGGGGGGTTCCCAGCACCCCCTCCCCAGCCCTGCACCCACCTCCTCCTCAATGTCCGCCAGAGACTTGATGGTCAGGTCTCCGAAGGCAGAGAAGGCCTGGTGGGCAGAGGCAGGGCAGTCCTGAGCCCAGATCCCAACATGGAGCCCCTATTCCCCTGCCTTTGAGAGCCTCCCCACCCTGGAATATTTGCCCAGACACCCCCCCACTTCTTGTCATAGCCTCTAGATACCAGCATCTGGCTGTTCCTCCTGGTCCCCTCCGAGACTGGAGACCTTTCAGCTGCCACCCAGAGGTGGCACCCTCTCCCCACCCCCAACCCAGGACGTGGCCCTCTGAGCTGGGGCACTGGATACAGTGATGTCCTGGTGCGTACAATGATGAGGCCGGAGGCAGACCCAGGTTCCCTGGGGCCCCGACTCACCAGGGGGCCACAGCTCTTGCCCTCGAATCGCGGGTGCAGGGTAAAGGGAACCCCATCCATGGCTGGAAAAAACATTCCGGGGAAGGAGGTGAGGCTTAGGGGCTTGAGGCCTGTCTGCTGCCCACCCCGCCTGGAGAGGCCCACCCTGAAGGACCTGCCTCTTCCTCACCTTTACTGAACCCAGAGTTGGGGCTGGGGGGCGGGAGACACCTTCCTGGCCATGCAATCTAAAGCCAGTCACAGCCCCCACCTCGGTGCCTCAGTTTCCCCACTCCGTGCTCACCTGAGATGCCATAGAGGCTCGAGGCCTCATAGATGGAGTCATTCCTCCTCAGGGTGGACGCCCGAGAGCCCAGCCTTGACAGCGTCCGCTCAGGGAAGCCGCCCTTGCTGGTGGAGGCAAGACGGTCAGGTCAGGCCTGATCCTCCCGCCGGAGCCACCCTCACCCCAGTGCCGGAGGGCTCACCTGGGCTGACTTGGGGGGTCCAGAGAAAGCCCCCGCATGTCCCGGCTGAGCCCTCGGGGCTTGGGCACTGGCCTCGGGGCCTTGGCCTTCTTGCACCAGATGGCAAAGCCACCCATGTCCCTGGAGCGGGAGAGAAGATGAAAGGGACCCTGGCCGAGTGTGCAGCCAGGGTTGAGACCAGCTGCCCGGGGAAGGCAGGGGACCTGGGCCTCTGGGCGACCTCTGTCTTTCAGGGGATTTTTGTTGCAGCATCTCAATCTCCACCCTAGGCAACCACTGTTGCTAACCACTGTTCTCCACCCTTTAGACACCAACTCACTGGCTCCTTGTGACAACCCTACAAGACTGGTACACCTGTCCCTGTTTTAATGTGCAGATCTGAGGCACAGAGAGGTGGCAAAAGGAACAGGAGGGGTAAGATCAGGAGTCAGGAGGGCAGGGCACGAGGCCAGAGGCTAGGGGGTGGCCCTACCCTACTCGCAGGTATCCAGGCACCGTCTTGGTCTTCCCGCTCAGCCGGATGTCAAACACAGCTGTGTCAGCAGCCCCCAGGGGCACCAGCTTCACACACATGCGTTTCTTCTTGGACACAGAGGCCTCTGGGAGTGGGGGGCAGGGGAGTGAGACAAGGAAGCTGGGCAGGGGCAGGAGTGCCCAGAGATGGCTCTAGGATGATGCTCTTCAGGTCGCTGTTTAAGACAGCCACGTGGATAGTGTTAGGGTGAAGGTTAAACCACAGACAGGGGAATTTCATGCAGCTTTTCGGAGACATTGGAGCAGGCTGATCTTTGGTGACATGAAGGAGCATTCATGGAGTGTCTGCCTTTGGAATCAGACAGCATCTGGGGCCCACCCTGGCCCTGAAACCTCACTTTCCCTCAGTCCTCTAATCCAGGCGTCGGCCAAGCAGCTCAAGGCCTGTTTTGTTACAGATCGTGAGCTAACAATGGTTTCTACATCTTCACATAAAAAGGAGGGTGTGCGATAGACGCCGTCCGGCCCGCAAACCCTGACACATTTACTATCTGGCCCTTTACGTAAACACTTGTCGATTCCAGTATCAATGAATATACTCCAAGCCTCAAATAAAAATGACCCCAAAAAGGGTGGGAAGCTGCGGTCAGGGATGGGAGGGCCGCACCAAGGCTCTGAGACCCAGGAGAGGAGGGGTCGGGAAGGGCGGGGCTGAGACCTGATGGAGGACGAGGAATTAGCTACGTAAAGAGGAGGGAAAGGGTGCTCCAGGCGGAGGAAACTGCGTCTGCAAAGGCCTGGAAATGAGAAAGAGAACTGCGCAGTGGTTTTGCTTGGCTGTGGTGTAAGGAGTGACATCGACTGAACTTGGAATGACAGAGACTGTGCCACTCACACGTTTTTAACTCAGAACAGCAGACGTCGCCCCGCCCTCTTAGCACAGGGCTCCGCGTCCCCAGCCAACCCTGTCATCACCCAGTGTGCCAGGACGCCGCCGAGTCTCGGATAACGCGCACCTGTCGTCCGTCCAACCCCCCCTCCTCCCCGCAGGGACCTGGACATCTCCCCCTCCCGATGCGGGCCTTACTGGAGTCCAGGGGGTCGCAGACCGGGGAGAAGCCCAGCGGGAGAGGGCTCTTGTCCACCACAATCTGGATATCCGCCACCACGTTCTCCTGAGGGTTCTGGGGGAAGGGAACACAGTGATTATCACCCAGCAGCGGGGACGGCGCGCCTGGCACAGGGCCACGAGAATGGTCGCGAGCACTGGCGGACCCCAGTGGTCCCAAAGGTGAGCGCCCCTTACCTCCAGGCTGCCTAGAGGACTAAGGCACAGGAAGTAGCCAGATTTCTGCGCGAAGCTCTTGCCGAAGCTGGCGGGCGCCCCCTCGACGGTGCAAGAGATCTACCGGGAGGACGCGGGTCACCGCCAGGCTCTTACCCCGCCGTGGCAGCCTCTGCCCCAATTTAACCTCCGCCCCCGACGCCGCTCACCGCGCTGAATCCCCGCGGCGGAGACCCCGAGGCCGACGACCACACCAGGCTAGCCAGCGGTGCCGCGTCGGGCCCAGGCCCGGGCTCCATCCTCCGAGCGGAGCGCCAGAGGCGGGAGACGGCCTCGGACCTCCAAGCTGCCTCCCGACGGTAGAGCTCTCGCAGGAGTCCGAACTACGACTCCCAGAAAGCCCTGCGAGGGCGAAGACGACCCGGAAAGCGCCATATACGCGTGCCCAAAAAGCCTCCGGCCAATGGTGTGGGTATACGGAGCCACGCCCCCACGCGTCACCGGGTGCGCCCGTCAGCGTCGTTTGCGGAAAAAGGTCTTGTCTCTGGCCGTTTTCCCTCTCCGAGCAACTTCCGCCGGAAATGTCGCAGTACAGTGCCAACGGACTGGTTCTCCTCAAACTAGGACTACGTTCCCCAGAATTCCTTGAGGCATCAGCTGCCGCTCCAAAGACAAGGTCGTTGTTTCCTGGAAAAATTGGGGGAGAGATGTGAAAAACCCGCAATTCTAGTTACGGAAAACCAAACCAAAGAAAATCGTCGTGGGATATGCAGCTATTAATTTAAATTAAGAAAACTATGGACCATTATGAGCCGTGAAATTTTGATTGTAACTTGAAGACTTGTTCACAGACACGATAAATTTTTAGAAGTGAACTATAAAAGCATTTAGTATGGTAACATGCTTTTACACCCCTCGAGGAAAATATAGAAAGTTAGGGAATAGAATATTATTGACTCTTCTATATTTCCTGATTTTCTACAATAACATGGAGGGACCCACGGCCTGTTTTTTTGTACATGTGAACTAAATGATTGGAAAAAAAATCAAAGGAAGAAATGTTTTTAGTGACGTGCAAAAATTATATGAAATTCAAATGTTAATGCCCAAAATAAACAAACGTCCTAGAAAAGATGACCCACTAGGGAGATATTGAGGTGAACAAATCACAGGTTCCCGTTGAAATTCCCTATATTCCCACCAACTAAAAGAAATCTGCTTTGAAAAAAACATTCAGCCCTGGGCTAGATAAGAGGCTGGGGACTGAGAAGGTGGTGTTGGTTGGCTGTGGACCCAGAGAGATGTCCGCAGTGGGTCGAATATACCCTGGATCCAGCCTGTAGTTCAGAAGAGGGACCCGCTATGCTGCCGGGAATCCAGACCAGGGAAGGAGCTGGAAGAAAAACAGGAACATCCATGATGTATTTGAGAGAGTATCGCCTCTCAATGTTCACTGCAGCAGCAGGTGGCAGGTCGCGTTCTGGATTCGTTTTTAGGGAAAGCAAGAGCCAGGGAGACAGGCATCCCCTTGGACCCAGTAACTCCACTTCTGGGAGTTCATTCTAAGGAAAGAATGTGATCGAATCCAAAATGTACCAAATCGAGATAGGGAACCGGCAGGCACTGCTAAACACAGAATCAAAAAGCCCCAACCACCCTGATCAAAGAATGGATGTGGTGACAGAACAAGCTAAGACAGGTCGAAACCAAAATGTCAAGGATTAGCTGCTGCTTCGCGTTGCGGCTCTTCATACCCCAATTATCATATATTTTCATGCTAAAAGAAACTCCCACTGACTCCATGCCAGTTCCAGGAGGGACCTTATAAAGTAATAAAAAACAGGGGAGGGTTCTGAGTTTTAGGCAGTCACCATCCCTTTCCAAGAAATAACATGAGTATTCCTCCCCTGCTTAGCTTATGATTAAGCCAGTGCTTAAATTTAAAAAAATTGAAAACAAAACCAAAGGTGTTCTTCTCAGCAGGGAGAACTAGCCTCTACTCTGTCTGTGGAGTTGATCTTCTATTTTCCTAAATAAAACTTGCCTTCACTTTATACCGTCAGCTCGCTCTCGAATTCTTTCTTCCTCAAAACCAAGGACCCACTTGGACTCCAAGTGACTGCCGGTGTTGGCAATTACTTTTCTGTGCCAAATGACAAGGATGAACTCTGATGGGGTGGTTTGAGTGTACCAGGTGCTGAGCTAAGCACTTTTCCTATAGTGGTTTATCTTGTAAAAGAAAATAAAAATATCAGGACCTTCCAAACTCATTATGCCAAAGGGAAAGCCGAGGGCTCAGTCACCCGATGCTGCTGTCAGTTTCCCAAGTACGTGGCTGTTGCTTCCCAATTGTGTGTTAAGGTGTTGTACATTAGCCAGACCCCTACAAAAAAAAAAAAAAGGCTTCACGCATCTCTGGATGACTGCCCTCACAAACTGTTCATAAGTAAATTCTTTGTTTAGCCCTAAACCTTTCGAGATATACATCTTCCCATAAACAAAGGATGTCACCTCAAGTCTGCAACCTAAGTCTGACCCCTTTGCAACTAAAGTCTGTTAAATTTGGCAGTAACAAAGCTGATTACAATCTCGCTTTCGCAGGTGCAGAACAAAGACTGGATGAAGTCTATCACCCTCCACCACGCTCTGGGACAGCCACATAATTACTCTTTACTGCTCCTGCAAATGTTTACCTTATCTTTTGTATAGCATAATTTCACTGGGCACTAATTAAAATCACCAGGATGTAACTGTTTGCCTCACCACCTCCCCCCTTTTCCTGCCCGTATTCTCACTGTTAAGGAAATGTATAAATTCTGAGCTTCCTGAAACCTCTCTTGGAGGCTACAGACAATTCTGTGGTTTGGGTTGTGCCCTCAAGCTCTGGCTTAATAAACCTCAATTGATTGAGATTCTTGTCTCAGCCACCTTAGGGTTGACATTCCCATCCTAACGACCTGGGAAGGAGCTGTTAGCACACCCATGATATGGGAAAGTGGAGGCGCACAGTGTTGGGGAAATTTCAATGCTAATTCTGCGTAAAACCACAAAACAGCTAAGTAGAATTATGCACCTGTTAGCTAAAACCGCAAAACAGTTAAGCAAAGTTGTAAGCCTGTTATAACTTTACTGCTTGTAAAAATTGCTGCTAATTGGCTATCTTTTAAATCCTATTGCTAATTGGTTAACCATTTATGCTTATATGCTATCGGATATGTCTAACCCCAAAAAAGTATAAAACCTGACAAAAATGAGGAAGCAGTGCTCAGAATTTGGAGACTTGTCTCCTCTGGGCCTGCCAGAAAATAAATGCTGATTCTCAAACTCTCTGCTTGCCGCTTGGTTATTCCTTTGGGACCCATCGCTGTAACACTTGCTGTAACAATAGGGTGAAGGAGCCGGTCTAGAGCCCAGATGGAATTTGAGCCCAGGTCTGACTCTACACTCGCACTCCTTGTCACTCTCTGGGGCACTGCCAGAGCTTGGGGCTGGATCATTTTCTACGGGGGACTGTCCTGTGGATTGTAGAGGATTGAGCCCGCTAGATGCCAGGAGAATCCCCCCAGTTGTGAAAACGAAAATGTTCCTGGGTGAGCATCCCAGGGCCAGTGTCTTCCTACAGGCATGGAGGCGTCCTCGGATGCCCGCCTAGGGCCACACCTTGATATCCCAAAGCAAGTGCAATATACACACAGTGTAATGGACAGAAATAAAACAGTTGGGTGATGTGGGTAGGCTTGTGGATCACCTTGGCTCCTTTAAAGTTTTTTTCTTTAATGACCCAACGTTATCCTCTCAATATTAATCATAAAAAGCAAAATCCCCTGTACCCATGTGTTCCCTGCTCCTAAAACAGCAACTCTTCCCTGCCTGCCCTGGGGTGTGAGGGTGACCTTCTTTCTCTTAACCCAACCTGGAGTAAGCACTTGGTTCCCACTTATCTGCAAGGAATGCTCCAGAACTTCAGGAGCCAAGGCTGGAAGAATTGGAGCAACAAAACAGATAACCTAAAGTGTAAACTACATTATCCACAAGTCCACAGTGACACAAATAAGTGATTGAATACATGAATGAAAAAGAGTCATATTTCCCGTGAAGTGGAAGATTGGAAAATTCCACTACAGTGGGATTCTTAGAAATTCCACTACCAGGCTTTTTTTTCCTTGCGATCCTTACCTAGGCGCCCTCCTCCCCTGCGACCTTACCCGCATAAATCACCTGTAGCAATTAAGGTACCAGGCTGTAAAACAGCTTAGGGCCCTGCCTCACTAAAGTTAACCCTGTTGTAGCCGTGCCCCTCCTCCTTAAGCAGAGTGTATAAAAGACTGCAATGCTCTTTGTCTGGTGCTCAGAATTTGGGGAGAGCAAATTTCCCTCCGAGCCTTGCTGGCCGGCACATAAAACCTGTATTGCCAAAATCTCTGTGTGTGTCTCTCGGTCTATTCTCGGTCAGCCCTGACGTAATACCCATGCGGAGAAATTCCAAATAATTGGGACAGGCACTGCGCCTTCCAGGAGGGGAGCATGGCTTGCCACCCCTTCGGGCTGGGCTGCGCATAGCGACTTCCCCCCAAAGGGTACAGTATGGGGGGGCGGGATGTAAGAGTCACTTTACGATGGAGAGACCTGACAGATACCACCTCAGCCAGGAGAATGAGTTCAACACCAGCCACAAAAAGTCACGTGGACAGGATGTGACCAGAAAGGCACTTCACCTCTGCGGTCTTCCTCCCCGAGAGCCATCGACCCTGTCTAACCATGGCAAAAACATCAGACCAATCCCAACGGAGGGACGTTCTACAGAACACTTGGCCACTACTTCTCAAAACTGTCAAAGTCGTCAAAAACAAGGAAAGTCTGAGAAAGCGTCTAAGGACACGTGACACCTAAATGTCATGTGGGATCTTGGGACAGAAAAAAGACTTTAGGGGGGAAAAAAAGAGGAAGTCTGAATAAAGTAGACTTTAGTTAATAATAATATATCAGTATTGGTTCATTTACTGAAACAAATGCAGCATGCTAGTGTAAGATGTTAAAAACAGGGGACTGAGTGTGGGGTGTGCAGGAACTTTTGTACCCATCCTCACTATCTCCCTGCAAATCTGAAACTATTCTAAAACAAAGCCTGGTGCAGTGGCTCATGCCTGTCATTCCAATGACTCAAGAGGCTGAGGCAGGAGGATCGCTCCAGGCCAGGAGTTCTACACTAGCCTGGGCAACATAGCAAGGCCCTGTCTGTAGACAAAAATAACCTATTCTAAAATAAAATATATCTTTAAAAAATGAACAAAGCTAAAATCAGAATAATAGTGGCATGAGAGTTTCCATTTGGAATTTTATAGGGGAAAGCTACAAACTTTCTATTTGCAGGATCAGGACTGTTTATGGGTACAAAATTTAAGGGAGACACCAATCTATTATTATCCTTTTTTTTTTTTTGAGACAGAGTCTCACTGTGTTGCCCGGGCTAGAGTGCCGTAGTGTCATCCTAGCTCACAGCAACCTCAAACTCCTGGGCTCAAGCGATCCTCCTGCCTCAGCCTCCCGAGTAGCTGGGACTACAGGCATGCACCACCATGCCCGGCTAATTTTTTCTGTATATTTTTAGTTGTCCAATTAATTTCTTTCTATTTTTAGTAGAGACGGGGTCTCGCTCTTGCTCAGGCTGGTCTCGAACTCCTGAGCTCAAATGATCCACCCACCTCGGCCTCCCAGAGTGCTAGGATTACAGGCGTGGGCCACTGCACCCGGCCTATTATTATCTTTTTTTTACAGCTGGGGAAGCCAATGCTAGGAGCAGAAAGTCACTCCCCCGGGCTCCCACAGGAAGGCGGGGCTGTTCTAACAGACCATCCTGGCCTCTGACCTGCAACTGTGTCTGTCAACCCGTCCCAAATTGACTGTAAAGTTCAAAGGCCAGAACAGTGCAGCTCAAGTAAGTCAGCCTTGGCAAGAGGCGTGTCTTCGCACCTGGAGTCCTGGCCAGTGTGGCAGGGCTCTCCTCATGGGACACGCAAGCTCTGCCTGGGCCTTTTCAGCAAGATTGGCCCCCACCTTTTGTTAACTGGCCACTGAGTGGCTTTAATGAGGGGTGAGGGCCCGGCGGTGCTTCACCGGCCTTCTGGGCCCCTGAACGCAAGCACCTGGATATGGCCAACACAACAGAATTTGGAGAGTGGTCAGGCCGTGGCTGAAGAAGCCACAAGAAAAGCACAGTCCCCTTCCAGCTGTCACACTCAGCAGCTGGGCACATATTATTGGGCTGATTTCCCACAGGAAGCTCTGGCTACCTTGGCCACACGGTGGATGGTCAGTGCAGTCTGAGCCCCCCCCCAGGCTCCAGGCCCCTCCCAACACCCCCCCGGGTGCCCCCAAGCCCTTTGGGCTCAGCGCAGCCCAGATGGAGCCAACTCTCTTTCCTCAAAACGTGCCCCTCACTTGGTGGCCATGTTTCAGAGTCATCTACTTGTCCACCTGCCCTGGAGTCACAGGCCTGGCAGGTGGGCTGCACATCCACTGAGCACCTACTGGGTACCGAAGCACTTTACTCACATCTCCTCACGGGTCCCTCCTGGAGAGGCTGACCCTGTCATTATCCCACATGAGGAGACAGGCTCAGAGAGTTCACCTGGGTGGCAGGCCAGCAGACTCTGGAAGTAGGAGCAGGTTCCCTGATGACTCCCTGGACAGGGCTGTCTGCCACCTTATTTGTTGGCTGGGGCAGCACCCTGGTGGCCAAATGGGGAACTGCAACCTGGGCTATGTGGCTCTATCCTGTGTCCCAGCTTCCCACAGGCTCTGGTCCCACTCCTGCTCACACACCTTCTATGGCTCCCTTGGTCCCCTCAGTGGGGATAGAGGCACTGGGTTAACCCGTACTGGGTCCGCACAGAGACACCTGAACACAAAACCTGGCCTCTTGGATCAGACCCAGGCCCTGCCCGCAGCTCACCATACAACCTTATAGCCTCAGTTTCCCCAGCTGAGCACTGGACCAATGATGATGGTCTCTGCCTCTTTATGTCATAGTACAGGTGAACACAAGGCTGGTATGCACTCAGTAGCACACAGGAGAGGGGCAAGGATTTGAGATGGGGTGTCCCAGGCTGTCGCAGCTTCCCTCCCACTGGATCCGGCACCTGCTGGGAAGGGTGCAAGGCCATAAAGGAGGGGGCATCCTAGGGAAGAACAAAACTCAGTTCCCTCCTGGGAAACAGAAACTGAAAGCCTGAACAGTCCTCTGCCTGTACATGTCCCATTAACTGCCGTAGAGCTTCAAGTCAGGGGACTTCCTGGAACTTGCTATTGGTCAGGATGGCTCCTATGCTAATAAGGGGGTGGCCCTGGCCCGTAGAAGGTTCCAGCGCCCTCTCCTGACTCCCGTCCAAACTCCCTACATCTAAAGGGAGATCTAGATGGCACCAACTTTTTACCACTATTCACCAGTGGCCATGGATGACACCTGCAAGGGAGAGAGAGGACAGAGACTGTGGCACCGCAAGGTTCCGCTGCCACAAGTGGCGTGTCTCCTGCTTGTGGTCCTGCTGCCTCTGGGGGTGCCTCTGGTCATCTTCGCTATGGAGGCCAACAGTGAGCGCTGCAAGGATGGCCTCAGGGCAGAGATGAACTGCCGCAATGTCACCCATCTCCTGGAGCTCCAGCTGGCCCAGGCCCAGGAGGGCTTCCTGGAGGCTGAGGCCCGGGCCACCATCTGCAACCGTACTGCGGTAAGCCACCATAACTCCTTCGGATGGCCTAGTGCTCCGGGAGGCCTAGAAACTCTCCCCAGAAATCTGCCACAGGCTCTGGGGAGAGATAGGGGAAGGCCTGAAAACTGCCCCTGGGCCCCCGCATCAGGGAGTCTGGGCTTCCCCACCAGGGTTTGGGGACTTCTAAACCCACCGCAAGGCCCTGGCAAGGGGAAAGGCCTTAAACCCCAGAGCACCCAAATCAGCGACCTCAGCGTTCCCACTAGGGCTCGGGGGAACCTCCAAACTCCTTCCAGGGCCCTAGTGTGGGGAGCTTGAAACTCCTCCTGGGCACCAGTCTTGGGGAAGTGGCAATCTCTGCTAGGGGCTGAAGGGGGACCTCACCAGGCCCTGAAGAAGGGGCTCTTGAAACTTCCACTGCACCCCCGAGAGGCTGAAATATTCACCTGGGTCCTGACGTGGGGGACCTTGAAACTGTCGCCGGACATCTAACATGGGCTGGGATGGACCCTGTGTTCTGTACTTGGGAAGCCCCCTAAATCTTCTTGGGCCATTGCCAGGGGAATCTGGAAATTCCTCCTAGAGTTTGGGTATGCAGAGCCTTCAAATTTCCACAGGCAGGGTGGGGCGGAGCCTCAAAACTTCCATTTCGAAGGCCACAGGCTTATAGGTGGGCCTGGGAGGGCGCGTGGTTGTGGCCATTCTTTGAGGTTGGAGAGTTGCAAGGGGACATGGAAAGGGGCTTGCACCTAAACCCCTCTGTCCTTAGGGCCTGGGGAGGGGGCCCAGGTCCCAGGGCGAGAACCCCAGTTTCTGACCCTCTGCTGTGTCCCAGATGACCCTGGAGGTGGAGAAGGATCAGGCCCTGAATCAAACGAAGAAACTCGAGGGTGAGAAAGGGAGAAGGGAGGGGCCGGGGAGAGATGGGTCAGGTATTGAAAAGGGGAGGGGCAGGGACACAGGGTTGGGAGTGGGGTGGCCGAGCAGGGGCGGGATCACGTGCTGACGTGCCCCCTGATTCCGTCCTGCCCCCAGGAGAGATCAGTAAATTGAACCTAAAGCTGCAGGACGCTTCCGCGGAGGTGGAACGACTGAAGTCAGAGATGCCCCCCCCACGCCCTTCCCACCCCCCCCAACCCCACCCTGAGTTCCCACAAAGGGACAACCTTGTCCCTAGGGTCACACAGCCATGGGTGGCAGCCGCCCATTCCTCTCCCAAGTGACTCGGATGGGTGGGTGGCTGGGATTGGGGTGGCGATGATTGGGGGGGGCTACAGTGACATCAGCAGGCGCCAGACCCCGCGGCTGCCTGATTTGTCCCCATCGCCACCGCAGGAAAGAAAATCAGGACCTAAGGTCGAGGACCCGGCACAACCACGAGCCGGACTCCAGCAGCTCCCTGGCCGCCGCCAGCTCCACGGCGCCGCGCGCGCTCCTGCTCCTGGGGCTGGGTCTCTGCGCTCTGCTGCTCTGAGGTCGCGGGACGCCAGCCAGTGAGCAGGGGGCGGCCCCGCGGGGACAGGACAGCTGGGGACGGGTGGCGGGGAGTCAGGGCCTCCGAGGTGTCCGGGCGCAGAGGAGGAAGGGCTGGAGGGAAGAGCAGGAGCCGGGCGAGGAGGGGCGGGGGCCCTGGAGTGGGGCGGGGCTTATGGTGGGCGGGGCTGTGGTGGGAGGGACTTGGGGAGGGGCGTCCCTCTTACCTAACCTTGTCTCTTGACACAGCCTGGATTGGTGCGCTTCCAGCTCTGCTTCCTGCTTCGACGATCCCCGGATCCGGCCAGCTCTGAGCCGGTCATGGGGACAGCTCGGTTGGGGGGAGGCGCCGGTGGCAGTGCAGGGGGGTCTCTGGTACAGCCCTGGGGATGGGGCAGCAGCTGAGTTGTGGCTGCCTTCCCCCAGGGGTCAGCAAGGAATGAGGCCCTCTCTCTTGTCCCTGCTTCTCCTGGACGCGGACGCGGGGTGAGGGTGGGGTGGGGTACCTGCTGCTTGCTAACATGGCTGTTTGGGGGAGTCTTTGAACTCCAAAAAATAAACTCCCTTTTTAGAGGAACACACCTTACTCTCAAGTTCCTGGAGTGTCACTTTGTCACCGTCACCTCTGGTGCCTCCCCTGCAGATGACAGGGACACACGTTGACACCCACACCCAGCCCTCCCCATTCCAGAATGCTTTCAGGAGCCCAGGGTGTTTGGGCACGTGCCACCCCGGTGCCTCCCCGGTCCTCTTCTCCGCTGTGATCATCCCCAGGACTCTGCACCCGCATTGGCCTCACTGTTCCCGAGTGATCGTGCTTCCCTCCTCTCCAAGTCCTGGCCTGATTCCTGTGGTTGCAGTGAGGAAACAAGGCTGTGATGGGGATAACCTTGTCCTGTTCCCCCTGCCTCCTGCAGAAAGTTCTGGGCTGGGATTTAAACTGGGACCAGCGCGAGGGCGCGCGCGCGCACACACACACACACACACACACACACGCACACACACACGCACAGAGACCAGGCCTTTGTCAGAATGTTCTTCCCTCCTCCATCCCCCAAACTCTTATTCATCTTGCAGTACCCCAGCTTGGAAACCCCTCTTCCAGAGAGTTGCTCTGTTTCTGCAAAATCAAGAGCCCAGTAGACCTTTCACCCATCCTCTTGCATCCTCTCAGTCCCTTCCTCTTCTGTTATCTGCCTTCCTCCAAGGTCTCCTGGAATCCCAACTATTGTCTGTGCAATTTCCGGTCCATGGTAACGGGGCCAGGAGCCCTGAGACACAGATTTCTGCACTGTCCTCAAGTCCCACAGTCTTCTGCCCAGGTGGTCAGTGGAGTGAAGAAAGCCTCTCTTTCCATGGCTTCTGCTGTTCTCCAGGGAGAGAGGAGGACCCCAAACACCATCCCTGCCATAGGACCCCCCCAGCCCTTTTGTCCTCTAATTTCCCTTTGCTCACCACACTCCACCTTCCCTGATTTTTAAAATTATTTTATATTTTTGTTTTTTTAGAGATGGGGTCTCACTATGTTGTCCAGGCTGGTCTTGAACTCCTGGCCTCAAGTGATCCTCCCGCCTCAGCCTCCCAGAGTGCTGGGATTACAGGTGCAAGCCACCGTACCTGGCCTTCCCTGATTTTTTCTCCGTGTACAAAACTTGCCAAGCTCCTTCCTGCCTCAGGGCCTTTACCCGTGCTCTTCCTGCTGCCTGGAGCACCCATTCCTCACTCCCAAGGTCTAGGGCAGGGTCTCAGCCTCAGCACTGTGGGCGGTTTGGGCTGGATCATTCTCTATGCATTGTGGTTTCTTTAGCAGCATCCCTGGACCCTACCAACTAGATGCCAGTAGTACCCCTCCCCCAGGTTGTGACAATTAAAAATGGCCTTCACTTCTGTGTCCCTGGCTTGTAGGAGGGCTAAGGCCACTTTACAATGACTAAGTTATTTCAGATGCCACGAATAGCCCCATCTAGGTGAGGAAACTGAGGTCTAGGGAAGTTATTGGACTCAGGGTTTGCAAGCTGGTCATGCAACTAACCCTCCATGTTCAGCGGTTCCCTTTTTGCCCAGGAAACAAACCCTCCCCTTGTGAACTCAGTCCCCTCCTGCCCCCTCCTCCACTCCCCACCTTATCTACTCCTCCCACCACCCCGTCCCCCACATGCCTGGGCTGTGTTTTGCTGATAGAGGGGGCAGATTTGCCCAATATGATCAATTCGACCCCTAAATCCCCACACAATGGCCTCAGTATAAACTTCTCTCCTTCCTAAAAATCCTCTTCTTCCTTCCTATTTTGCAATCTTCTGGTGAGACCTGACACCAAGGCTGTGATCCACCCTGTGGCTGAGAAGCTGAGGGCTAGGCTAGGGGGTTCTGCAGGCCCCCTTGTATTCACCACCCCCCCGCCCCCAGAGAACAACATGTGGCAATGACCAGTGGCGGGCTGCTGTGTCCCTAGCCTGCCATTTGACCTCTCTGGGCTCTGGTTTCTTCATCTTGAATGCGAGATGGGGCACAGAGTCAGTCACACTCAGCCCACATTTAGTGCACACCTACTATGTCCCAGGTCTTACACTCACTGGCAACAAGAAAGATGCAGGCTTTGCTTTGTTGGGGGCTCAGAAACCAATACCCCAAAATATGGCGCTTTGGCAAGAAGCCTTAAGGTCTCTCTGTGACCTCCTCCCTTCCTGTCTCAGAACAGGATGAAGTTCTCTCAAGTGCCCTTACCTGTCAGCCTAAAATATTAATAATTAAGGGTCAGGACCCAGTTAAAAGAGTTTATTCAAGGGCAAAACATTAGGATAGTCAACTGTCCAGGACACATGGACATCAAAGAATGGTGATCAGTGCTCCCAGCATGGGGAAAAGTGTGGATTGCGTGGATAGGCAAAAACGGAGGTGCTGAACAGAATTACATTTTCTTTGTAATTCGAGACTAATTCAAAGGCTAACTTCAGATATAAGATTGGATTGGCTACTGTTGATCACGCTTTAAGGGAGTTGCTTAGCATTCTATTGTAAAGAGGTAACAATCACGAGGGTCTCTATTTCCAAGGTCATTTAGTCTAGACTCGAATAAAGAATAGGGAATTCAGTTAATGTGTAACATCTCAACACAAAGAAAAGTCAGGAAGTAACAGTCACTCACCAGAGAGGAAAAACAGCCTACCAAGTGACTCAGTTTCCAGGGCTTAACTTTTCCCCTTAATAACTTTTCCCCGTAATAAATTTGGAAGGTCCTAAAATTTTCTTTTCTTTTCTTCTCTCTCTCTCTCTCTTATTTTATTTTTTATATTTTTAGAGCTGGGGTTTCATTATGTTGCCCAGGCTGGCCTCAAACTCCTGGGCTCAAGCGATCCTCCTGCCTCAGCCTCCCGAGTAGCTGGGACTACAGGCATGCGCCACCATGCCTGGCTAATTTTTTATATATGTATTTTAGTTGTCCAGCTAATTTCTTTTTTTTTCTTCTATTTTTATTTCAGCATATTATGGGGGTACAGATGTTTAGGTTACATATGTTGCCCTTGCCCTCCCTCCCCCAAGTCCGAGCTTCAAGCGAGCTAATTTCTTTCTATTTGTTTTAGTAGAGACAGGGGTCTTGCTCTTGCTCAGGCTGGTCTCGAACTCCTGAGCTCAAACGATCTGCCTGCCTCAGCCTCCCAGAGTGCTGGGATTACAGGCGTGAGCCACCGCACCCAGCCTATATTTTCTTTTTATAATATCTGCCCAAAGTCTGGACCAGCCAAAGAAGAAAACAATTACCTCTGGTCCTTTCTCTAAGTTTTCATTAACTAAACTCATATTGCAGGAAGAAAGACTAAAGCCTGTCAACATACCTGGATAGACTTTTGTCGCAAACATTTACCTGCTCTGTGGGCCTAACAGGCTTTGTGCCAGGCCATTGTTTGTTCTTCAAGCCCCCGAGTTCCCCTACAAATCACTTACTACTCCCCCAAAATCATCCACACTTGCCGTCCCCTTTCCCCTAGGAAGTACACAAGGGTACATAAGCACATGTACCCCACTGGGATATTGGGCAATCACTCCGATTCTCTCCCATGCACGCCAATACATTCGTACACCATTTCTCCTTTTAACCTGCCTTTGGTGAGTTGATTTTTCAGACAAAATTCAGAGGGCAAAGGGGAAGCTTTCCCTTGGCCCCCACAGCTTTCCTGTGGTCTCGCCCAGCTCGATGAGGGGGGCAGCCAGGAATCTGACACACGCAAAGGTAAAACTAGGTGAGGCGCGGTGGCTCACCCCTGTAATCTCAGCACTTTGGGAGGCTGAGGCAGGAGGACTGCTTGGTGGCTTGCGCCTGTAGTCCCAGCTACTCGGGAGAAGGAGGAGAATGGGGCATTGAATTCTGACAGGGAAGGAAAGCTCAGGACAGAGTGTAAACAGGCCTGGATCCGATCCGCGTTGTAAGGTCGCCCCCTGGAGGCCCAGTGGAGAATGGGAGGGGAGATGGAGCCGGTCCACCCTCCGTCTACCCTCTGTCCCTCCTCGCAGCAGGTGTGGCAGCCTAAGCGGGGCCGACCTTAGGCAAGCAAGTGGTCTCTCATCGGCCAGCCTCGGTTTCACCATCAACAGAATGGGGACAACATAACCCCAAACCCTCGCCGAGCGCCCCCTTCGCAGATATGGTCGTTGGCACCTTGCGTGGATATGCTCACCTGAGTCCTTCCAACCCCTACCCAGCAAGAGCTACTACTGTCCCCATTTCACAGAGGGGGAAACTGAGGCGCAGAGGGCGGCATGTGGGATGCAGAAGCAGGGCTGGCGCCTAGGACCCCCGGCCCTTTCTTGGGCTGGGCAGGATGGGCTGGCCCCTGGAGGGGGTCCAACCCCTCCCAACGGACTCATGGGAAGCCACGGCCAGGCGGGGCGGAACCGTGGGTGTCCCTGGCTCCCCAAGGTGCCAATTAAATGCTCGTGGCCGTCTGGGGCCAGAGCTGTGGACCGCGGCATGGCCGAGCCGGAGCTGGAGCCGGAGCCGGGCCCGGAGCCCGGGCGTGCATGGAGGGTGCTCGCCCTGTGCGGGGCCGCCGTGTTCCTGGCAGCCGCGGCTGCCGGCGGGGCCCTGGTGGCCTGGAATCTGGCCGCCTCCGCTGCCCGGGGCCCTCGCTGTCCGGAGCCAGGAACCAATGCCACGGCGCCACCGGGGGACCCCCCACCTGAGGTCGAGGACCTGCGGCGTCAGCTGGCAGAGGCTGCCCAGCGCGAGGAAACCCTGGCCAGGCAGCTGGACCAAGCTGAGGGTGTCCGTCTCAAGTTGGAGAAGACACTCAAGGCCTGTGAGGGCCGCCAGGTAGGTGGACAGGGTGAGTGGCCGGGAAACCGAGAATTCTGGGGGAGAGGGCTTGCACACGCATCTCTAGGGTTCCCTCCCTGTGCCTCGGTTTCCCCAAGTCCTCAAATTGAGGGAGGCTATTGAAAACAGCACTATAATCCCTTATAATGCCAGTTCACCTTTGAGTCTACCTTCTGATCCAGAAGGCCTCATTGTCATCCGCTGTTTGTGGAATAAAGGGTGGCTGGGGAAACCCCAGGCCCCTGAGCCCACCG